AATTTTTCTTTAAAAGATTTATTAATGCCACATTTACATGGATGTAGAGAGTTTATTAGCAATTCAATTTGCTTAAATGTGCCATAGAATACGAGGCAATCGTCTATCTTTCAGAAAAGGCAATAAAGCATAGTGGCCTGTTCAGTCACCGTTGGTGGCGACTTTTGAATCTATAAAGGAGTCGAGCTGATAACAATCAGAGGTGTGCCAGCCTTTTTTAACTACGAGACCAGGAAAAAATGCCTTTACTGTCGAAGCTGATAGGTACAAATGCACGACCAGGAAGAAACCATCTTGACCTAAAAACAAACTGGTCCGTCGGCATACGGACCAGAAAGGAGCCATTCGATCCTGACGACTCGCTGACTCCTTAAAAGTGACAAAAATATAAAAGGAGAGATCTCTGTGTACTAGACATGTTGACAATAAAGAAGAGTATCTGTACGAAAGTCTGTTACTGAAAAAAAACCTTGTGCTATGAGCAGGAATTGAATGTTTTAGCTAAAGGGAAAAAACAACCAAAAACGAGGTAAATAAAGCAAGGTAAATTTAAATCTATTCCAAATATGCGTCTCTACCTTTCTCTTCCCATAGTTGGCAATACATTTGACTGTGAATAGGATGACCGGTCTTAGAAATGTTTTAGTGCAAATCCTGCACTTGTGCGCTATGTTAACGACAGTGTATTAAGATCTAACAAAGTGTGAGGTCGGTAACGATAACCTTGCGTAATACACCTCTTCCCTCGTTCAAATGCTGCTTCACCATGAAAACTACAAGTTAATCAATATTACATGTGACTAACGCTGCTAATATTTCATTGTGGACGAGCAGGACCTCTTGCTAATCAAATGCGCAGAAATAAACGGACAATGAAATGATTGATGGCTTGCTTCCAACTGAACAGATATGATAACGTAGACTACTTGTGCTATTTCGAAACTTATAGAAACGTTTATCCTCTTCTAATTGTAACTTCATTACTTTTCATAAGAATTAAGACACAAGTGCGAGGCGTAACACTTATGCGAATATTGAATGCGATGTGGCAATACCCAGAGGTCTTCTTCAAATATCCAAAGCGCCAATGGTAGACCATCCTTCGCTCGCTTCCCAATAAATACTAGTAAGACTATAATTAATTCTGTAGATATTGATTGTATAGCACTCTGAATCTAATATAACACTATACCTAACTTACCGTGGAAATCTAAACTGTTTAACTTAATAACTAAGCATAATTCGATCAAACCGGATTCGCAGCCTGGAGGCACCAAATCCACACAATTCGACCAACGCTTAGATAGCAAAATTCATAATCAATGGTGTTTCAGAGTCGTTACTTTCTAACGCTTTTCAAGCGACATCGAAAGGTTGGTTAGTACGCCAAAGTACGTTAATACTGAACTAAATATTGTGACTCTGCGGCTAAACAACATAAAAAGTAGTGGCGAAGTGTCGTTGGCAAAGACTAAGGGACTGCTCTTCACAATATCAGGATGCAGGATGCATATACACACTTCATGTATTAAACTACCGTCTAGACATAATTAAAATAGCTTGATGCCGTAGTAAGAGTAGCAAATTCTACCAAAAGTTTTGCTCATCCAAAAATACTCAGCAATGCAACCGCTAAGCAGGGCCAGGTTTCGACTACACCTGAGAATCATCTTCAACCGCAAACGCTTTTACTCGTGAACCGCGAAAACTGCTGAATCACAAGCTGTCAACTACCGAGTGCTGAGCACACTTAGTTGACTTACATATTTGGAATGGAGATAAAAGTTCTCAGACGTAATCTGTTTTGATGGCAACATGCATATAAATCTTAAAAATTTTATGTTCAATGCAAACATTTTTTGACATCTAAAATATATAATATACATATATACGTAATGGGTGTATTATATATTATATAAGCATAGCATAAGAGAAAAGGGTGAACTACTTAAAACAGGCAAAAGAATAGGTATTCATATGAGAAAAAGTCACTTGCAGAGATCAGCTTTGTTTGTTGATGAGTTGGTCGGAGGCGACGGGCATTCAGTGGTTTCGTTACTTCACGCAGTGTGCGGCCTCTGTCATCAATGATGCACGAAGATGTTGATGGTGGTCGAAGAGAAGGACAGGGTTCGTTCTGAAAATGACCGTCATCCACAGTGGAGAAGCAGTAGTCTGCAGTCAGTCGTTGGTCAGTGTTGCGGGTG